GATGAAAGTACGATGCTTAAAGAGAGCACGTTGCTTCTTATTCAATCTTATTTTCCTCTTTTTCTTAGCAACAAGTGTTCTGAGATTTTCGCCCTATCTGCGAATGATCCGGAAAACTTTGATCTCAAATTTGTTGGATTGGTGTTATCTCTAGTACCGTTTGCGCAAACGCTTATCCCTAGTTTTACGTTTTGATATCAAATAATCGACTATACTGATTGTCAGAAGACTTGAATTTTTTGATTTCTGAGACATTTGATCAGTGCCGTTGCGTTGACAATACATGGCACTAATTTTTGCGACAGCGTTTTAGAATGGCTACATGTTCAACTTCGTACAAAAGATTTAAATTATGGCTCCGATGCTTACTACTAACTAACGAACTATGTCGCGCAACGGAAACACCAGAAGAGGCATACCGTATCGCACTGTCATAAGAAAGGTGAGACAAATATGCGAAAACAAATGTGAGTTTTTTATGATATTCAATTGATGGTATAAAAATGACTCAAAGTAGTGTTGTGCAGTTTTACGGGGGTTAAAGGCGTTGAGGTTTAAACTTACACATAGTGATTACGGAGTGACGTGGGTAACTTTTCTAGAGCATGATGCAATGAGCTCGCACCAACAGCAAAAACCAATAGTGGTTTTATACGAAAGAAATGGAAGGGGCGGATTTATTTATTTTACGAACGTTTTCGGGTAGCTTTAGGGGGCGTCGTATAAAGTAGGTCAAAGTCCCGTTAACCACTTGGAGTAAAACTGAGGTTGCCGGAGCTCAAACTATTTAAAAAGACTGTTTTTTTTCTTAATTATTATAGATTAAACTGAAATTTTCAACAGTTCCGATCGAGGGCGTTAAGTTTTGTTTAAAAGTCCACTTTTGATTTCTTTTCATTTTTTGTTAGGGTCTTGCCTTATTGTTAGGGTCCACAGTTTTGGCCCATAATCTTCTGAAAAATCAAACCATTTGTTTTTAAAATTTTTTTAGATACTATTTTTAATGAAAAAGTGTCTAAAACCTGTTACCGCGTTTTGCCACTTAACAATTTTTATCTTTTGAAAATTGCATAAAAAATAGCACAACAAAAATTATCACATGGATTATGAAAATTTTATGCAAACTTGACAAATGCAAAACTATGATAGTCGAAACCCAAGTGGGGAGAAGGGTCTCTTTTACAGTTTTGTAGTTTTTTCCCTACCGTCCCCAGACGGCCACTTCATTCGGAGTCTTTCTGTCAATAACCTTCTGAAATCGACAAAATTTCCTTCTGGTGCGGCTTATCTCGGTCGAACTCAACAACTGAACAGGTCTTGGTTGCGCATAACACTCTCGACACCGGTTAAAAAAGACCTCTGTATATCCCGCCTCCGTATTTCCCAACTGCCTGTCTGTAGTGCCTCCGTTCCCTGGGGGTTATCACAACTGTCTCGAAACGTTCCTTGGGGGGATCACAACTGTCTGGAAACGTTCTCTTGGGGTTTCACAACTGTCTGAAAGGCTTTCATTTTCTAAACCAATTGCGTACTGCATCCGATTAATTTGTTCCCGAGTCGTTCCCGCTTTGAATCAACTCCCGGGTCGCGCCACCAAATTGTGCTGACGAAGCAGATGTAATATCTGTGCAGAATGTGTTTTCCATAAAGCAAATTGTCACAACAATCGCATAGATTTCGGTAATTTTACAGTTGATATTCAATTCAGACAAGTTGAAACAGCACCGAACTTTCGCGTAAGAGTGCGTTCACACTTTTGCAAAACACGGCTTTTTTGACAGACGAAAACCTATCAGCCAAGGTGGGCCAAGGCCATTTTTTTTAAACTAGTTTAAATTGCTCAATTTTACTAAACAAACAGAAAGGGTTTTGTTGGTGGGCCGCTCCGCCATCTGTTCTTGCATTGTATGCCCGGGTTGACCATATTTTTGTAAGGAAACATCGTTTCCATGAATAGCGCCATTTATGGTGCGACGTATGGTTTGCATGGTAGAAAAATTTAAAATCTAATAAAAGTGTATTTTGTACTACAGATACTTTTTCTCAGTCATTTTTGTCAAATAACCTCTATTTTACGGTTTTCTAGAAAAAAAAAACTATGGTGAAAAATCTCTTCCATACGTAGCACCATATATGTTGCGACGCATGATTTGCATGGTGAACATTTTTGATATTCTACCAACAGCTAGCATAACGATGAGAAACCGTTTTATTACTATTTTACTCCGTTAAAAAGCTATTTTAAGGGTTTTCGAAACCAACGTATGTGCTACGTATGATTAGTCATTTTCCATGCGAATCATGCATGGATGTGCATTGTTGCGCATTATCTTCTATGGTGGGCAACCCTGGTGCAACTATAGTTCAAACTTATTCTTAATTTACTATTTGCTCAGCAACATCCTCATCACCCGAAGAGGAAAGTCCGAATGGCGAGTCCGAAATTACTCGAGCTCGAATGGTTTTGTTCAGCGATGAGTTACCGATATTAGCGGTGAAATATAGTTGACTTTTAGCAATGAGTTAGCGATACTTATTGCTAATTTCGAGCTACCTTTTAAAAATAACACATTTCCAGCCCTGAAACACAATAAAACTTGACTAGCAAATTTTCATCGATGACTATTATTGGGAACTCAATACGGGTACATGGTATTTGTAAACGAAATATTATAGCACTCAGCATCCACTGTGTGATCAAAAAAAATTATGCGGCTAAAACGATAGTTTTTGTTTGGTAACCTATTAATCTGATTTGACACATTTACCAAGATTTTAATCTGATTTGACGTATTTTACCAAGAAGCGCAGTTTTCGATGGCTAAAAAAAGCTTTAAGCATCGACAAGACTGATCGTATTAGGGCGAAGCACTGATTGTTTCGACTGCCTTTTAAGTTCTATGGAGCAGAAGTAACATGAAAACTTAAAATGTAAAATGGAATCAATTTTTTTGAGTTTGGGGTTGTTAGTGAAAACATCCCCCCACAGTCAATAATAGGAAAAAATTCATAGATTTTGCTCCTATTAACTATTCAATTTTGGCATATAAGCTTCCTTGAACCAAATTGGAACGATTTCTAAGACGGATTAAATCTCGCTTATGCGTTAATAGCGCGAATTATATCGCGCGTTAATTGTCCCAAATTGGCCAAAATAGCAACAGTTAACTCCACCATAACTCTACAAAAAATGATCACAGGTGAAATCTCTTTTCAAACTTAAGCTTAGGACAACAATAGTTTTCGACTGATGGAAAGATTTTTCCGTCAAAAATCGCTAGTTAAAAAGTCAAAATATGTCTGAAGAAAAAAAACCCACCCGAGCAGAAATATTCCCTTATTTTCGTTAAGAAAGTCAGAACAATAACTCAGAACTACACCAGAACTACACCATGGTTTGAACAGTAAATGAAAATTGTACTGTTTTTTAAGCATTAGTTATTTTTAATATCGGCGTTTTTTCTCCAAACAAGTTTTTACGAATTTTTATACATAATTTGAAACGCGATTATTTTGTTCTGAGCTGAAATTAAAAGTATATATTTCAACTCTAACCAGGGGGCGGATCTAGGATTTTCTAGAGGGGGGCGGATCTTCAAAAAAAGTTTTAACATTTTGTCGACCCTTTTTTAGGTCGATCAAATTGATTTTCCGAGCTCGCCGCAGGCAAATTTTTGAGAAAAAAAAGAGGCCACTTTTTCAGGCACTTTTTTGAAAATGTGGACCAAAAAAACTCTCCCCTTCAAAATTAGTATAAATTGGCGCCCATGGCGCCTTTAAAAAACAACTTTAGGGCCGTCAGCCAAAAATGGATATCTCAAAATAGTACAAAGGGACCCTTTGGGTCGGCAGGTGGTCGAATCCGCCCCTGCCTCTGACTTTCTTTCGTTAAGTTTAAATAGTGCTAATTTGGCCAGTTTGGGATAATTAATGAGCGACATATTTATTGCTAATATCGCTGAAATCGTTTATTTAACCCGCGTAGAAACCGATGCAAATAAATTGATGAATGCTATTTGGCTATTTAAATTTTTGTTTAATGCAAATTATACAATTCTCTTTTACATAGCGCGTGGGGGATACTTTCCAAAGAAAAACTGAAAAAATATATGATTTCGTTTTTAAAGTGAACACTACAGCATAGAAATGGAACATTGATGGATTAACCCTGGTATGAGCCTTCTTGTTATTGTATTCAGCCACATGCATCGAAGCGTCTATATTTGATGCGTTCTAACGACATGGAACCGCAGTTCAAAGCAAGTATTCATTATATCCAATTATTTTCTTGATAAACTACCTCTGTAAAATACTTACAACTAACCAGTCAGGATCCATGACTAAAACCTACCAGCAGTATGAACAAGACTGCTCGTATCAGGGCGAAGCCCTGAAGGTTTCTACTGCCTTCTAAGGTTTATGAAGCAGTACTAACATAAACATTATTAACAAATTAAATGTAAAAAAATGAACAAAAGTTTTTCTAAAGTTTCAAGTTTTTATTCTATGAAAATCGTCCCTCCACACGCCATATAAACTGAAAAAAAATTGATTTCGCTCCTATTAACAAATCAGTTATGGCAAATAAGGTTCCTTCAACCGATTTGGAATGATTTCTAAGACGGATTAAATCTCCTCTTACGCGTTAATAGATCGAAATATCGCGCGTTAATTGTCACAAATTTGTCAAATGGCAATCTTAACCCCCATACTTTTTACAAAAATTTTAAGCTCAGGACAACAAAACCTTTTGAATGATATTAAAAAAATCCGTCAAAAATGGCTAGCTAAAAAGTCGAAAAAAACCGCCCCGAGCAGATGAATTATTCCGTTGCTTTCGTATCGAAAGTCGGAACAACAATATGAACTGTTTTCTAGGAAACCATATGCACGCGTTAAGCATTTTGAAACTTTCAAATATTCTATCCTACTCAAATACTACTCAGCGTAAATATTATTTCAAAAACACCCGTAACATTGAAAAAAAGTGAAATTGATGCCTGAAAATGTAGCTTTTGTTGTACGTAATTGGGAATAAGCCAGGTCGCACGTAGAAAATAAGAGTGACTGCAACTCCGCATGGCCACGTGACCCAACTGAGTACTCGGAAAAGTTTCTCTTTGTTCACAGTTGTGGCGTGGAGATTGAGAAGAACACAGCAAAGAAGTATGAACGACCTGGAAAAAGGAGAGCATTAACAAATCAAGACTGCTCGTATCAGGGCGAAGCCCTGAATGTTCCGATTGCCTTTTAAGGTTTTATGGAGCAGTAATAACATCAAAAAATTACATGTGAAAAAATAAAATGAAATTTTTTTTTCTAAAATTTGAAAATTTTTTTAAATGAAAATCATCCCCCACGCACAATATAAAATACTAACGGATAGATTTCGCTCCTTGTATCAAATCAATTAGCCAAATAAGCTTCTTTCAACGAATTTGGAACGATTTTAAGACAGAACAACTCCCCGCTCACGCGTTAAAAGCGCGAAATATATCGCGCGTTAATTGTCCCAAATTAGCCAAAATGGCAATCTTTAAACCCCCATAATTTTATGAAAAATGATCTTAGGTAAGACATCTATTCAAATTTGAGCTCAGAACAACAATACCTTTTGAATGATGTTTTAAAAAAACTTCCATCGAAAATGGCTAGTTAAAGTCGAAAATTGTCTGAAGAAATAAAAAGCCACCCCGAGCACAAATATTCCGTTACTTTCGTATTGAAAGTCGGAACAATAAACCAACATGGGAAAATGGTTACATTGATAGTCATTGTTCCGACTTCATTGTAACGAAAGTTAAGGAATATTTGGGCCCGGGGTGGGTTTTTTCTTCAGAAAAATTTTGACTTTTTAACTAGCCTCTTTTGACGGAACATTTTTACATCTTTGGAAAGCTATTGATGTCCTTAGCTTAAATTCGAAAAGATATTTCACTTGTAATTTTTTTTCGTAAAATTTTGGTGGGTTTAAAGATTGCCAGTTTGGTCAATTTGGGACTGTTAACGCGCGATATATTTTGCGCTATTAACGAATAAACGAGATTTAATCCTTCTTATAAATCGATTCAAATTGGTTCAAGAAAGCTTATATGCCAAAATTGAATAGTTAATAGGAGCAAAATCTATGAGTTTTTTCCTATTATTGACTGTGGGGGGATGTTTTCACTAACAACCCCAAACTCAAAAAAATTGATTCCATTTTACATTTTAATTTTTCATGTTACTTCTGCTCCATAGAACTTAAAAGGCAGTCGAAACAATCAGTGCTTCGCCCTAATATGGCGTATGCGGCGAGGTGATGTTTTTGAACAAAACTCCCTCTCCCGTCGAACTTCGTCCAACCTCTTTCGTCGAACTTCAACCCACCTCTCTCGTCGAACTAAAACACCCTCTCTCGTCGACCTTCAACGCACCTCTCTCGTCGAACTTCAACCCACCTCCCTCGTCGAACTCCAGACTACCTCTCTCGTCGAACTACAAACCCCATCTCTCATCGAACTTCATCCCACCTCTCTCGTCGAACTAAAACCCCCTCTCTCGTCGAACTTCAACCCTACTCTCTCGTCGAATTTCAACCCACCTCTCTCATCGAGCTGAAACCCCCTCTCTCGTGGAACTTCAACCCACCTCTCTCGTTCAATTACAAACTCACAACTCTCGTCGAACTAAAACGCCCTCTCTCTTCAAACTAAAACCCTCTCTCTCATCGAACTAAAACCTCTTTCTCTTCGAACTTCAACCACTTTTCTCGTCGAACTAAAACCCCCTCTCTCGTCGAACTTCAACCTATTTCGTTGATTTTCAACCCACCTCCATCGTCGAACTTAAACCCCCTCTCTCGTCGAACTTCAACCCAACTCTCTCGTCGAACATCAACCCACCTCTCTCGTCGAATTCCAACCCACCTCTCTCGTCAAACTACAAACCCCCTCTCTCGTCCAACTACAAACCCCTTCTCTCGTCGAACTTCAACCCACCTCTCTCGTCGAATTTCAACCCACCTCTGTCGTCGAACTTCAACCCACCTCTATTGTCGAACTTAAACCCCCTCTCTCGTCGAACTTCAACCCAACTCTCTCGTTGAACTTCAACCCACCTCTCTCGTCGAACTCCAACCCACCTCTCTCGTCGAACTACAAACCCCCTCTCTCGTCGAACTGAAACCCCCTCTCTCGTCGAACTTCAACCCACCTCTCTCGTCCAACTACATACCCCCTCTCTCGTCGAACTTCAACCCACCTCTCTCGTCGAACTTCAACCCACCTCTGTCGTCGAACTTCAACCCACCTCTATCGTCGAACTTAAACCCCTCTCTCGTCGAACTCCAACCCAACTCTCTCGTCGAACTTCAACCCTACTCTCTCGTCGAACTTCAACCCACCTCTCTCGTCGAACTGAAACCCCATCTCTCGTCGAACTTCAACCCACCTCTCTCTTCGAATTTCAACCCACCTCTCTCGTCGAACTTCATCCCACCTCTGTCGACGAACTTCAGCCCACCTCTATCGTCGAACTTAAACCCCCTCTCTCGTGGAACTTCAACCCAACTCTCTCGTTGAACTTCAACCCACCTCTCTCGTCGAAATCCAACCCACCTCTCTCATCGAACTACAAACCCCCTCTCTCGTCGAACTTCAACCCACCTCTCTCGTCGAACTAAAACTCCTTCTTCGTCGAACTTCAACCCACCTCTCTCGTTCAATTACAAACTCACATCTCTCGTCGAACTAAAACGCCCTCTCTCGTCAATATAAAACCCTCTCTCTCATCGAACTAAAACCTCTTTCTCTTCGAACTTCAACCACTTTTCTCGTCGAACTAAAACCCCCTCTCTCGTCGAACTTCAACCAACCTACCTTCAACTCACCTCTATCGTCGAACTTAAACCCCTCTCTCGTCGAACTCCAACCCAACTCTCTCGTCAAACTACAAACCCCCTCTCTCGTCCAACTACAAACCCCTTCTCTCGTCGAACTTCAACCCACCTCTCTCGTCGAACTTCAACCCACCTCTGTCGTCGAACTTCAACCCACCTCTATTGTCGAACTTAAACCCCCTCTCTCGTCGAACTTCAACCCAACTCTCTCGTTGAACTTCAACCCACCTCTCTCGTCGAACTCCAACCCACCTCTCTCGTCGAACTACAAACCCCCTCTCTCGTTGAACTGAAACCCCCTCTCTCGTCGAACTTCAACCCACCTCTCTCGTCCAACTACATACCCCCTCTCTCGTCGAACTTCAACCCACCTCTCTCGTCGAACTTCAACCCACCTCTGTCGTCGAACTTCAACCCACCTCTATCGTCGAACTTAAACCCCTCTCTCGTCGAACTCCAACCCAACTCTCTCGTCGAACTTCAACCCTACTCTCTCGTCGAACTTCAACCCACCTCTCTCGTCGAACTGAAACCCCATCTCTCGTCGAACTTCAACCCACCTCTCTCTTCGAATTTCAACCCACCTCTCTCGTCGAACTTCATCCCACCTCTGTCGACGAACTTCAACCCACCTCTATCGTCGAACTTAAACCCCCTCTCTCGTGGAACTTCAACCCAACTCTCTCGTTGAACTTCAACCCACCTCTCTCGTCGAAATCCAACCCACCTCTCTCATCGAACTACAAACCCCCTCTCTCGTCGAACTTCAACCCACCTCTCTCGTCGAACTAAAACTCCTTCTTCGTCGAACTTCAACCCACCTCTCTCGTTCAATTACAAACTCACATCTCTCGTCGAACTAAAACGCCCTCTCTCGTCAATATAAAACCCTCTCTCTCATCGAACTAAAACCTCTTTCTCTTCGAACTTCAACCACTTTTCTCGTCGAACTAAAACCCCCTCTCTCGTCGAACTTCAACCAACCTACCTTCAACCCACCTCTATCGTCGAACTTAAACCCCTCTCTCGTCGAACTCCAACCCAACTCTCTCGTCGAACTTCAACCCTACTCTCTCGTCGAACTTCAACCCACCTCTCTCGTCGAACTGAAACCCCATCTCTCGTCGAACTTCAACCCACCTCTCTCGTCCAACTACAAACCACCTCTCTCTTCGAATTTCAAACCACCTCTCTCGTCAAACTTCAACCCACCTCTGTCGACGAACTTCAACCCACCTCTATCGTCGAACTTAAACCCCCTCTCTCGTCGAACTTCAACCCAACTCTCTCGTTGAACTTCAACCCACCTCTCTCGTTGAATTCCAACCCACCTCTCTCATCGAACTACAAACCCCCTCTCTCGTCGAACTTCAACCCACCTCTCTCGTCGAACTAAAACTCCTTCTTCGTCGAACATCAACCCACCTCTCTCGTTCAATTACAAACTCACATCTCTCGTCGAACTAAAACGCCCTCTCTCGTCAATATAAAACCCTCTCTCTCATCGAACTAAAACCTCTTTCTCTTCGAACTTCAACCACTTTTCTCGTCGAACTAAAACCCCCTCTCTCGTCGAACTTCAACCAACCTATTTCTTTGATTTTCAACCCACCTCTATCGTCAAACTTCAACCCATTTCTCTCGTCGAACTTCAACCCTACTCTCTCGTCGAACTTCAACCCACCTCTCTCGTCGAACTGAAACCCCCTCTCTCGTCGAACTTCAACCCACCTCTATCGTCGAACTTAAACCCCTCTCTCGTCGAACTTCAACCCAACTCTCTCGTCGAACTTCAACCCTACTCACTCGTCGAACTTCAACCCACCTCTCTCGTCGAACTGAAACCCCCTCTCTCGTCGAACTTCAACCCTACTCTCTCGTCCAACTACAAACTTCCTCTCTCGTCGAATTTCAACCCACCTCTCTCGTCAAACTTCAACCCACCTCTGTCGTCGAACTTCAACCCACCTCTATCGTCGAGTTTAAACCCCCTCTCTGGTCGAACTTCAACCCAACTCTCTCGTTGAACTTCAACCCACCTCTCTCGTCGAATTCCAACCCACCTCTCTCATCGAACTACAAACCCCCTCTCTCGTCGAACTTCAACCCACTTCTCTCGTCGAACTAAAACCCCTCTCTCGTCGAACTTCAACCCAACTCTCTCGTCGAACTTCAACCCTACTCTCTCGTCGAGCTTCAACCCACCTCTCTCGTCCAACTAGAAACCCCCTCTCTCGTCGAACTTCAACCGAACTCTCTCGACAAACTTCAACCCACCTCTTTTGTCGAACTTCAATC